TTTCCCAGAACTTTGCAAACTCACATAGGGAGAATTTTTTGTCTTAAAATGATGGGTTAGGGGCTGGAGAGATGACTCAGAGGTTAAAAACCCATGCTGTTCTTGCAGAGGACTAGGTTTCAAATCCCAGCACCCACACAGTAGTTCATAATCACCCACACTTCTAGTTCCAGGTAATATGACACCCTATTCTAACCTCCATAGGTGCCAGACATATACATGGTACACATACTCACATACATACAAGCAAAACTTGCATACATATAAACTAAATAAGTCTAACAAAAATGAACTGTTATTCCTAAACATATCTCCATGCTGTCTCAGGGGGAGGGCCTCTGGTATTCAGTATCAGAGTGTCTGACAGCCCAGATACCTCTTGGCCATGTCTCCTTCTTGTGGGCATGAACTCTGCTGGCCAACAACAGAGCTGCCATGCTGAGCTTTGCCATGGACCCTACTCCACATCTCCAGGTATCCCAAATGCAGTTATGCTACCAGGACCTTAAGGCTAAGCTGACACAATGAAAGCCCATCTCAGTCTAAGGGAGTTGGATATAGAAACAGAACCCCAGGAAGAGGGCAGGTAGAGCCCAAGGGGAAAAATAGACATCATGTCCCCAGAGGCCCTACCTTCTCACTTAAATGGTGGCTCCCTAGCCCTACCTTGCCTCTGTCCTAACAGCGGCCACTGGGATTCTGACAAACCTGTCTGAACAGTTAAGCAGCACCTGGGAGGCTGAGTCAGGAGGATAAAGACTTAAAAGCTGGCCTAGATTAGTGAGACCCTGACTCAAAAGGAGGAGGAGGAAGAAGAGGAGAAGGAAAGGGGAAGGAGGGGAAGACAGACAGACAAATAAAAACACACACAAAAAAAACCCTCAGAGCCTGCTCTTGCCACTACTTGGCCCAGATTCCCACCCCACCCCCACAGTGGACTTTCTACCTATACCTAAGTCCCCTCTCCCTCGACCTCCTTGCCTTCCTTCCTATTTCTCTGTTCCCACAAATCTCAATTGCCACTCTGAGGCAAGACACCTCACCCCCTAGAGTGACCTAGAAGTCCATCTGCAAGTCTAAACCATACACAAGAACCCAGTAGCAGACAGGCAAGAGGTGTCTCACAGAGGTCTCACTGCCATCTCTGAGCCCCTCCTAGAACACAGAAGAAATATTTACTGGGAAAATATAATTGCTAAGTCACCTGCACATTTTTGAAGCTTTCTGAAGTCAATTTTATTGGCAATGCCTCCAGGAACCTTCTGATGGGATGAGCACCCATAAGAGGGTCAGAGGGTCAGGCTTAAAGCTGTTGGATGAATTAATGCAGCCATTCCTGCCTCTCAGGGGTCAAAATTCTTTCAAGCAAGTCAGTGACAAGTGAGAGGCAGGGTCTTTCAACACATGTGGCAGGGGCAGAGGTGCCGTACATGCCACCCGCTCCCATCCATCCCATAACTGAAACAGGCACAAGGAAGGACTGAAGCTTTTGACCCAAGAGGCTCTGCACAGGAGTAAGACTCTACCGAGGACAGGTTCCCAAGGCCTCTGTAGGGCTGCAGGTCTCTAGACATGACACCTCTGGGGGCAACTGCCCTCCAACTTCTTCCTACAAAGTCCTGCTTTGGAATCCATGCCGTCTAAATCCAAGCTCCAATTCCCAGGCACCAAGGGGATCCTAGGAAACAAAGGGGTATCAGTCACAGCCAAGGCAGGATTGAATGAAGAATCTTGCAGGGGCCTAGGGAGAGACCACGCAGACACAGTCTATACATGTCAGGGACCAAAGGGACAGAATCCTTCCCCGTGTGCCTACACCTCACCATCCTCTCCAAGAAATGCAAGCTAAACAATCTTCAGTATGGCACACCTTATCCCATTCCAACAGGCTGTTCCCAAAGAGACTGTCTGCAAGGCTGCCGAAATGCACACTCACCACGCAATCAAGCTAGAAGCAGCCAAGAACCAACACCCCATCACTGTAAGCATGGGTGACTTCAGAGACCCTTACTCCAAGCCTCCCCAAAGGCTTGCTGCAAATATGTAATGTGACCCTAGGTAGGACAAACTGAGGCTTTCTGTTTACTGTGGGGTTTTGTTTTGGTTTGGTTTTCAAGACAGGGTTTCTCTGTGTAGTCGTGGCTGTCCTGAAACTCACTGGGTAGACCAGGCTGGTCCCCTACTCAGAGATCCACCTGCTTCTGCCTCCCAAGTGCAGGGATTAAAGGCGTGTGCCATCACTGCCTGGCTACTGTGTTTATTTTTATGGTTACTGTGTACGGCAAGTAACAATAAGGCTCCATTTTGGAGAATGATACAAAGTTTCCTTTTAAAAGAAACATTTGCCAGGATAAGGACTCCAACTCTGTGTAGGATCTGGAAACAGGAAAAGTACTTCAAGGAAGGAAACCTGGGTTAAAAAAAAAAAGTTCGAGTAAAGTGTGGTGCTCAGTCCCTAGTATTGAGTCAAAGTTCTCGCCTTGGTTTCAAAGCTGGCACAGGCAACTAAGCCACTTAGGAGAAGTGGATTGGAGGGTTTGTATTGCAAAACCCTATCCTTCTGTTCTCATTGGTGTTTTGATGCATTTTTTGGGTTACTTTTTAAATTTATTTTGGAGCAGAGCTCATGTCATGGCACAGACGTGGAGATCAGAGGACAATTTGCATCTACCATGTGGGTCCTCGGAATAGAACTGGGGTCAACAAGCTTGTCAGCAAGAGCCCTATCTGCAGTCATCGCACAGCCCTTGTTGCTACTTTCCAGAAGTCTCATTTACCAGAGGTTGACCTCAAACATGATGCATGACAAGGGACGGCCTCGAACTCTTGATGTTCTGCCTCCACCTTGTGCATGCTGGCATTATAGGTATGCTCTACCACTTCTGGGGATACCATTTTAAAATTTTCTTCAGTGAGTCTTGTCTCCTCAAGATCAAAAGTGTTAAGAGCATACACAAGCTGTTTGAGAGTGAGGTAAAATGTAAACTCTGAGGGAATAAACAACCCAGGCGCTACACAGCTCTGAAGAGGGCCATCAGGGGTCTTCCAAGAATATTGAGGGAGAGACACACATGGAGCTGACCACACACCTTTCATTCTTGAATCAGGGAGACTTGAGAGGGGCCCAGGGATCTGTCCCAGGCTATGAGCAGGAAGAGGTCCAGGCCTTTTGCCTCCCTGCCTCACTTAGGCCCCAACCCTTGACCCTGCACAGAGCTAGCCAGAGGTCTAAACCCACAAATAGGCTCCACTCAGGGTGCACTTGAGCATAAGAAAACACCTACCATGACTGAGCCATTTTATAACCCAGAGCACCAAATAGGTGTAAATGCATCTGGGCTAATCAACTGCCTGTCTCAGATCAAACTGAAATCCTCAGATAAGTAGCAAGGCCTCTAAAACCAAACAAAAACAGATAACAAACTTCTTCTAGTATCAAGACTGGTCACCAATCTCATCTCCCCTTTCTTTGCCAGGGCAGAAGCTCAGCTGACAAGTAACCAAGGGTGCTGCAGGCCCTGGATTGAGACAGGAAGAAGGGGTTCCACCACTCTTGGGGCTACTCAGGACCAGATTTCTAGTGTTTCTGGATTTGGGGAGGCCTCCAGGCTCTTACCCACTGTGATCTGGCCACAAACTCCTTGGAGATAGATTGGTCACTATTTAGAGTGGCCCTGTTGGGAACAGAGCCCAGGGGTCACACAGCTCAGATGGTTCCCCATAGTCCTAGATATTTGGGGGAGGCAGCACAGAATACTCAAGATATTTCAGTGAGCCATAAAAGCCCACCCCTCCTAAAACCAGTTAGGTTACCTCATGAGGGTCTGCCTCTGTCCCAGGGCCTACAGATGTAAGCTTGCCCATCACATCCCTTCTAACTAGCTCCCCATACTTGAAGGTGACTGGACCAGAGGCCACAGCTCTCTTTTAAGATACCTAAAGATCCTGGATGTGAGCAAACACGAGGGTCTTCTCTTTGGAAGGAAGATTAGGGACTGTCCAGAACTACACATCCTCTGCCTCCAGCCTGCTACTAGCTGCTAAAAACTCACACCCAGGGGACAGACAGACCTGTCCAGCTTCGGGCCAGCCCTCTTGAGGCCCAAGTACATCCCACAGGCAAAGTCAGACACAAGAGAACCTGTTGGAGCAGTTTAAGCAGGATGATCACCTCTTTCTCCTCCTCTTACTTCTGAGTAGGAAGGGACTTAGGCTCTTGAAAAGTAGGCACAAGGCCAGGTCATGGCCACAGGCAAGGGCCGAGAGGGCGGGTTTAGTATCTCTGGACTTACCTCCTTCCCCCTCCCCATCTTCCTTAAAGAGCATAAGGTCATGTCAAAACTGGGGAGTCCCTGCCTGGAGCAGGGAGGAGAGAAATGGGGAACTGAGCAGGCCAGGAAGGAGGCGGCCAAGCCATAACACCCCCACCCCAACACACAGACAGACACTCACATCGGTCTGTCACTGCACTCCCGCCTAGGCCCGCAGGCCGGCCCGGCCATAAGCGCGCAGGGTCCCCGGAGGGGTCCTGTCTGCCAGGACAAGGTCCTGGGGAGGTTTCTCGGCTCCGGCAGAGACTGGGGGGCATTGGCCAACACCTCGCTACCGTCCCCGGGTCTGCCCTAGCCCTGCCAGCGCCGGAGCCCGCCAGTCGCGCCTCTCGGGGGACCCGCGCCGGGCCGCGCGCCCGCCTCTCCCGGCCCGGCCGCCCCGAGCCCGCGCGGGGAAAGTTCCTGCAACTTCGCAGGGGGCTGGCGGCGGGGGCCCCGGGCCTGGGCCTCGTCCGGCTCCGGGCCTCCGCGGCCACTGCGGCCCCGCTGTCAGGCAGCCGGGTCCCAGCCCCGTAGCGGCCGGAGCCCCAACTTCCCCGCGCCCCTCGCCCGCCCCGGCCGCGGGCCTCGCTTTGTGCGCCGCGGCCGTACGCCCCCGCCCTGGGCACAAAAGGGCGCGCGGCCCGGCGGCCGAACACGGCTGCGGTGCCCGGCGGGGCCCGGGGCGCGCGACCGGGACGCGGGGCTCGGTGGGCCGGGCGGGCCGCGGCGCGCTCACCTGCCGTGGAACCAGTCCTTGCAGGCGTCGCACTCGATCATGAAGCGGGTAACGTCGTAGGGCAGCCGGCAGACGCAGTACACGGGCACCGTCGCCATGTTGCCGCGCCGCCGCTCGCCCCGCCGCTGCGCTGCCCGGGTCGGGCCGGGCCGGGCCGGGGGCCGCGCGGCGAGGGCGGCGGGGGCGGCGGGCGCGGGCGCCGCGGCCGGAGCGGACGGGGCCGGGGGCGCTCGGCAGGGCCCGCGCGCGCGCTCGCGGCCGGGCGCGTCCACACAATGCCGGCGCGGGCTGCTGGGGCCGCGCCGGGAGCCGCCCGCCGGGCCGCGGGGTGCAGGGCTGAGAGTGCACGGGGGGCCCGGCCGCGCGCGGGACACAAAGCGAATGGACGCGCGGGGGCGGCGGGCGGGGAGCCGCGGCCCCACCGAAGGGACCCCCGGCCGCCGAGCGGCCGCTACGTCAGCGCCCCGGGTGGCGCCGCCTCCGCCCGCCGGCCTGGGCCCCGCTCCCGCCGCCGGGAAGGCGGGCCGCGGTAGAAGGTGGGCCGCGGGCCCGGGGGAGCCAGCAGCGAGGCCGGGGAGGACCCAGCGAAGAGAGGGTGGCCCCGGGACGACAGAGGAGGCGAGCCGCTGAGCTCCCTGCCTCCGACTGCGTGAGCACAGTCCGCGCAGCCCTGCCTCAGCCAGAAGCAACTCCTTGGCCTTAACTTTCTTCTGACCCCGAAGTGGGATGGACAGGGGGATTTTCCTCCTCTTCCTGGCCAGGCAGTTTCCCTCCCATCCCGAACTGCGTTTGAGTTGCTGGCTCTTGAACAGCCTCCCCTTCCCCTTCTTTCTAACTGGGGGCTGCCTAGCTCCCTCGCGCGATCCAGTGAACTTTCCTAATGCTCCGGCCCCCAGAGGTGGAGGACCAAAGTCAGGGTACCTGAGAGCAAGCTGTTGTGGAACACAGCTTACCTGGCATTGGTGCAGCCCAGGAGCCCGCATAAAAACCCTAGACCCCCAGACCTTAGGGGCGGAGGACAGTCCAGTGAGGGGTTCTGTTGTTGCTCTCGCCCCTGAACTGACTCTCTGGTCTCACCTGTCCTCCTTAGGACATATTTGTTCATTTGCTGGGGGAGGGGGGTCCTCTATTCCCTACCCACGTAGCCCTACTGAACAGTACCACATACTCAGTGAGAAACCTGTCTGCTTGATTCGCCTCCTCTCTGCTTGTCCCCACATAATGCATGGAGATGCTAGTCTCTGCAGGTGAACTTCAGAGTCTCAGGCCATTGAGCCAGAATTTACCCTCAGGCACCCCTACCCTCCCCAAACTTGTGAACCCAGGAACACAACTCAGAGTCTGGCCCTGGGCAAACCGTGCATTAGCTAAGGGCACACATGCGGAACGGGAGATGGGAAAAATAACCTGTGAAATTGGGGGCAGGCAGGGTACCCCTGCAAACTATACAGAACGAACTCAGTTCAAGCCACCTGCCCAAATTCCTGCTGTCACCTTTGGTCTCCTTTGTCCAGGTGGTTCTTCCCACCAAAAGGCAAGGGATTACTATTAAGCCACTGTCCCTGGATAGCATCAGCACCAGGTGTGAATTTGTGCAAATAAAGGGTAAAGTCTATAGGAGACCCAGAGTGAGTCCACTGGGGGCAGGCACTCACTACCCCTGTTACCTAAGGGACTCTCCATTCCCCCAGGAGGTGGTGCTGATGCCACTTTGAAGCTCAGAGCAGCTAAATGCAGGAGAGGAGTGACTTGCCAAGGGTTGGGGCAGAGGGAGCAGAGGAAGAGGCCACCCCCCCACCCAAATCCTGAACCTGTGACTCTCACCTCGCCTTCCTGCCACAAAGCCTGGCCTCCCTCTGGTGGGGTACTGACCACTGAGTGCCTCCAGCTACTCTCTCTACCTTCTGCTGGTCTCTCTGGCAGCCAGCTGTGCCCACTACAACTCTCCGTGTGCTTGGGGATCAGATTCTTTCCTGGTTCTCAGAGCTCTCCTGGGGTGCTGCACTGTGTGGCAGCAGACAGACCCTCTGGCAGGCCTCTGGCTCTAACTTCTGTTCTTCCCCCCCCATCTCTTCTCCCACCTCTTATCTTTAGATGTTTATTGAGCACCTACTGTACGCTGACAGCCACACACCAGAGCGCAGAAGGGTCTCAGCTCTCCTGTTCACCCTGGAGTAGAGACAGCCAGGGGTGGACTTGAATGTGAGTAGTGTGGAGGAGAGCAAGGAAAAACAGGTGAGTCATCCTGTGAGAACATGACCAGGAGAGGGGGCAGGGAGGTGACAGGGAGATGCTCCTGCTGGCTGGAAGGGGCAGTGTGGTCTGGTGGCCCCCTCTACCGGTGCTCCCACCCCGCCACTCCGCAGGGCCCAGCCTTGGAGCCCCCGTTCCCTCGCCACCGTTCACTCGCCACCGTTCACCGTTCTCACCCCCTCCCCGGCCTGGCCCTGGGCCCTGAAAGGGGAATTGTCTCCCAGCTATGTGATCCCGCACTCTGGGGCACCGCAGCCCGGATTCCTAGCACAGACAAGCCTCTCTCCACTGAGGCACAGTGAGATCAACTCTGTTGTTTTGCTTGTAAGTACTGGGGTTTCCCAGAACCGTTCCTAAAGAAATGGACCTTTCCTCCTGGAATGGTGCTGGCCTCCTTGTCAAGGTTTCCCCAAACCCATCTATCTATTTAGTGTATGTGCACGGCCACGCATGCGCCATGGCGTGTGCATGGAGGTTTAAGAACAGCTATGCAGGAGTCAGTTCTCTCCAGCATGTGGGTCCCCGGACTAAACATGGGTTATCAGGCTCAGCGACAAGCAATTTACTAGCTGAACCATCTTATTTGGCCCCTCCTTTATTGAGAATTCTGACACGGGTGGGTTGTTTCTGGACTCTTTGTTGTATCCAGATTGTCAATGTATCTTTTTAATGCTGATGTTACATAGTTTTGATTACTGTCCTTTGTAGTAAGCTTTGTCATCAGGAAGTGTGAGTCTTTTTTTATAAGATTTCTATGGCTATTTGTGGTTCCTTAAAATTCTATATGTGCCAGGCGATGGTGAACACAATTTTAATCCCAGCACTCAGAAGGCAGGGGGATGTCTGTGAGTTCAAGGCCAGCCCGGTCTACAGAGGGAGTTATAGGACAGGCTCCAAAGCTACATAGAGAAATTCTGTCTCGTAAAACCTAAATAAATAAATAAAGTGCCCTCCCCCCAACTGGGCTAAGTAAAGGTGTTTGTCATACAAGCCTGGCAGCCTGAGTTTGATAGATTCTCCAGAACCTGCATTGATGTGGATGAGAGAACTAACTCCACAAAATTATCATCTGACTACTATGTGGATGAGAGAACTAACTCCACAAAATTATCATCTGACTACTATGTGGATAAGAGAACTAACTCCACAAAATTATCATCTGACTACTATGTGGATGCCATGCCATGTACACACACACACGGAGGCACACAAGATTTGTAAAGACTTATTAAAAAAAAGAATTTTGCTATGGATTGTAGGAAAATCTGTAGGTTTCATTTTTATTACTATTATTTATTTATTTTTCAGAGAACAACTAGCAGGAGTCAGTTTCTCTTGTTCTATCATGTGGGGCTGTGACTCCAACTTAGGTTGTCAGGTTTGGCAGCAAGTGCCTTTACCTGATGAGGCATCTGGCCAGCCTTAGACAGAGCTTTAAGTGGTTATGCATGAAGTGTTCTAATCTGTGAACATAAATCTGTATTTCCATTGAATTGTTCTGAACAAAATCTAGTCATTTGCCTTGCCTCCTTGGTTTATTCTATAGTTTTTTGTTTTTAAACTACTACATTCACTTATTCTTAACATTTACTCTGTGTATCTGTATGTGTATATGGGGGGTACAGAGGAAAACCTGGAGGAGTCTGTTCTCTCCTACTCTGTGGAACCCAGTGTTCAAACTCAGGTGGACATCAAGCTTGGAGGCAGACACCTTTATCTGCTGAGCCATTACACTGGTCCATTGCCTGCTATATATAAGTCTTTTTTATTCTATCTTTTATACTTTTTATGTGTGTGGGTGTTTTCTCTACATGAATATCTGTATATCAGCTGTGTGCCTGGTGCCCATGGAGGCCAGAAGGGGGTGCCAGGTCTCCTTAGACTGGAGTTACAGACAGTTGTTATCTGCCTTGTGGATGCTGGGACTGGCACTCGGGTCCTCTGGAAGAGCAGCCAGTGCTTTTAACCACTAAACCATCTCTTCAGCACCCGCCCCCCCCTTTAAAAACAGACTCTTGCATGACCTTGAACCCTGTGTCCTCCCTCCTTCATCTCTTGAGCGTGTGGCTTATAGTCATGTCCCACCACACCTGGCTTCTGGGGTGCTGGGACTGAATCCCATGCATACTAGGAAAACACTACCAACTGAGCTAGATCTTTAGCATCAGAATTATCAATTATCTTGTTGATCTTGTATATTGCTCTTTACTGGAGTCACGTATTTTAACAAAAGGTATACTGTGAGAGCGCACATACGTTCAGGTGTAGCGTTTAGCACTATCCTGGACAAATGTGCCCTGCCTGAGTCCCACCTGTCCTCCAGATTGTCCCCCAGTGTGGCTTCTCTGGCACCCTGGAAACTTTCTCTCCTTCTGCTGCTTTTCCTGAAGCCTTCCACCTTTTCTATCCCATTTTTACATGGGTTCCTCTTAACTTGAGTGTTTATATAGCTGCTCCTGCTATCCCCACTCAGGCGACGTTTCACAGTCCCCAGAGAACTGTGCCTTCTGCAGCAGACTCAGTGACAGTCCCTGGAACTCTCCTGGAGTGATCAGTCAGGGCATCGAAGACTGGATGGGTAACCCTCTACCCGGGAAAATCGAGTTTTGGAGTGCTTGTGTAGGGCTCACTGTGGTACCTGGCTCAGACTCTCAGCCTGAAATCCCATCTCACCTTGTCCAAAAAGCATGACTCACTGTAGTTCTGGTCCCTTACGTATATCCATTCTCTGTGGAACTACAACTGTTCGCATTCTACCCTGGGCCATTTCCAACTCCAGAAGCCAGAGGGGAAAAGTAAGTATAGGCCATGGGTGAGTAGAGGTTACCCAGCTCTGGGCTCCGAAGCTCCCACTTACCAGGCATATGAAAACCCAGGACTGCTTAACAAAGGACAGAGACGGAATGCCCTGGATAGGAGGCATTTACCTACCATCTCTAACTCTAGAAGTCAAAAGTCCCTGACCAGGGGTCTGCAGGGCTGCAGCCCTTTAGAGGTAGCAAAGAAGGGTCTATGTCTGACCTCTTTCCACCTTCTCACAGCTTTGTGGCCTAGGACAGTGTCATTCCTGTCTTCCCATGGCCTTGGCCCTGTACTTCTGTGTCCAAGATCCCTTTTTATAAGAACACCAGTCATACTGGATAAGGGCCCATCCTACTCCAACATGACCTTGTCCCAACTCCTCAGCTAATTGCATCTGCAGAGGCCTTATCTCCAAATAAGGTCACATTCTGAAATCCTAGGAGTCATGTCTTGGCCCAGTGAGTTGGGGGAGGGGGGCATGATTCAGACCCTAATATAGAGTGCTACATCTTTACAAAAAGCTTCCGTGAGGGCCTTACCTGAGGGCCTTCAGGCCACCTGCTTCTGCCTCACAGGGTGAGACAGGGAACTTGAGTACCCTAATGTGGTTTGGGAAAAGGAAGAGCAGTACCCAGCCACCCAGGAAGCCACGTGTGGAGGGTACAGGCAGGGTTGGCAGACCCACGAGGGAAAGGCCGTGACAAAAAGACCTCTTTCCTGCCTACTCCACCCCATGAAGGGTAAGCAGCAGAAAACATGTTTCTAATGAATCACAGAGAAAGGTAGGCTGTGCGGTGAACAATAAATTAGCATATTCTCAGAGCTGGCCACTATTGCTTGCCCTGCAGGAAAGTTAGGCTAAGCTGAGTTTAGGGGTTATTTGTTAGGCTTTGTTTCTTTAATTTTTTTTTTTCCTGAGACAAGGTTTCTCTGTATAGCCCTGGCTGTCCTGGAACTCACTCATAGACCAGGGTGACCTCGAACTCAGAGATCCAGAGATGCACTGAACTTTTGTTCCTTTTCTTCATGTAACTGATGTGTGGATGAAGATATAGACAGGAATTATCCAACATCCTCTGTTAAAGAGAAAATGAAGGATGAGGCTACATTAACCATCAACATGTTTACCCTCCCTAGAAATCAAGGTCATTCATATAAATGAAAGCCAATTTTTGCCAGTCAAAATTGGCAAAACACCATCAGACTGGCCTTGCCAGGCAGCTGAGCCTGTTTATACAAACAGCTCATGAGCTCTAGGGGCTACCAGGAATAAACAAGAAGCAACAAAGACTCACTCACAGTGTGGCATGCCCACCCTCACTCCATCTCCTGTACTTGTATTTTGTTGCTACATGTGAACCCTTGTGTTGCTACCCCCATTTTAATGGAAACGCTTCAAGGTGCAGGCCCTGTGCCCTGTCCCTTGTAGGGAGAGCAAGGTCTGGTAAAGGTGCTACATATACAAGATCCTTAAACAAGCAGAATGTCCCCCCTCTGTGCTGAGGAGAAAAAGACAAATCACAACAAAAAAGGAAGACCCAGCATTCAAAATAGTTGTTTCAAGATGGCAGAGTTGAAGCAAAAATCATAAAAGTTTTATTTTAAAAGATGGAAAAACAAAAACAACCCAAAAAACTACCAAGAGCATCAGACCGACCACAATTTGCCATCTGTCCAGGAACAACACCAGGTTGAGTTCATCTTGGGTGTGTAAAGCCTCAGACCTGTTCCTGAGTTCTGGCCAGTGCCATATATGACCAAAGTCCCTTGAGTCATCATGGCACTGGCCCCCAGTGATCCCGTACCATGCCAGTGGTATGAGAAGAACAGTGAGTGTGTCTTCCGGCAAAGCGAGCCTCCAGAACGCTGCACTTCGTGCTCAGGCTTAAACCTCAGTCCTGAAGTAAGGCGGAAGCCTATCACGGACCAAGAGTGGTCTCCAGCCTTACATGCAATGTTAAGTGATACGGAAGCAGCCAAGGGTGCCACACTGGGGAAGTCCCTGAGACCCCTATCCTTGGGACTTTACGGTAAACAAAACTGTCTGCCCTTCACTTTAAGCCAGAAGGCCATTCCGATCAGTTTGCTGTCCCCAAGTCAGGTGAACTGAGGAGCCAGTATAGTGAGTGAGGTTTGTGGCTGTCGCTGAGGGGAGACCCTGCAGGGTGCCATGGATGAAG